TTCCATTAGGGTTTTCGACTTCATAATAGTCCGGGTGTACTGGATATGCTGCAGGCTGATTTAACATCCTCATAAATCTATACCATGCCAAGTTGTTATATTTTGTAGAAATATAAACGTTTTCTCCAAGGTCTTCTATTTTATTGATTTTAACAGTTGCATTTTTCCTGTCATAAATAATATCGAGATGGTATTCTCCTTCGTCAATGTTATACTGGTTTGCATATTCAATATAGATGTCGTTTATTTTTTCTTGAAAAGCTTGAAGAGTTGTTTCTAAGTTTACAAGCAAACTAACTTGTAAAAGTTTTCCCTGTTCAAATTTCTCATACATACGTTTTTCTTTGTTATAGTATCGAACTTCAAAACCGACCGTAAATGGGAAACCATGTATGGCTTCTGAAATGAACTTCATTCTACGAAAGCCAATAGCTTTTGTGACAGATGGGTCTCTTAACCATCTTAATGGGTAGTCAAAACGATAGCCTTCATGCTTTACGGTATCTGTCTCAAACTTTTGACCGACATTAGTAAAAAGTTCATCTAATGGTTTAGTTGTAGCAACTCTAGAATCTTCTTTTTCTATTGGAAGCATATTTTATCTAGAATAAAAATGTCGAAAGATATTGCTTCCATAAGAGAAATACAACACAACCGACAACTCATTATGCAAGCTCTAAATAAGAACACAACAAACTTTTCAAACTATTCTAAGATATCTGAGTCATTGAAAGAAGGAAACTTAAAACTGACATTAAACCCAATGACAGATGAGTTTCTGTTTCAAGACAATAAGAACCATACTGTCTGTATAAATCCAACAAAAGGAACTTTAAACGAGAAACCTATAAATGAACTTCTTTTGAAAGCAGATGTTGACAACAAAGCTGACAAAGAATATGTAGACGATGCAATAGCAAAAGAAGAAGAAAGAGCTAACAATGCTTATGCAACAAAAGAACATACTCATCCTGAACTAGCAGACAAAACATATGTTGACAATAAAATGTCAAGTGAAGTGACAAGAGCTGAAAACGAATATTCTAAAAAGACTCATATACATTATATTAACCAAATACCAAGTCTTAAGGAAACATTAGAGACAAAAGCAGATAAGACTCATACACATTCTATATCTGATATTACAAACTTACAAGAAACCTTAAACAGGAAAAGTGCCGTTGGACATACACATTCTATATCTGATATTACAAACTTACAAGAAACCTTAAACAGTAAAAGTGCCGTTGGACATACACATTCTATATCTGAAATAACAGACTTAAACGTTAGCCTTGAAAAGAAAGCAGATAAAACATATGTCAATGAAATATACCAAAGTTTGATAGGAACAAAAAAAATATTGAAACTATTGTTGGTGACTTTTCTGTCAATGAAGAAAATAAATATTTTAGATGGCAGTTTGTACAGTCCTTAAAAAATGATACACGGTGTAAACTCATTCCGAAAAATAACAATGAAATGTATGTAAGCTATAAAAAGAATGATGGTACACAAGTTAAAGTTCCATTAGACAACAACTGCTACTTAAACTTATATGGAGACGAACAAAAGAAATATTTAAGAGTTTATGAAATGGTGGATATGACATTGCCTGACCCAGCTCCAGCACCATATTATTATGACTATGGAGATGACGACAGAACACCACATGTAGATGAACAAAAGCTAACATTATATTTAGATTATTATAGATATAAAAGATATAATGCAATAGAAAAAACGAGAATAGTATATTATTATACAGATGACAGAAATAAATATTATAGTCAAGATTTTACCTACCCTGAAAACATAAGATTATATTATAAAAAATATTCTGACACAAACCAGAAGAAACCTGAAATAGTTGCACTATATTTTAAGTTCAAAAGAGACAATCCTATAATATCTCATATGTTTGATTTAATGAACCCAGTAGGTTCTATTTAGACATCTATGGAAGCAAGAGGTCCTCAAGTAATGTTTGGTGTTGGTGCATGGGAACAAATAGTCGACAGGTTTTTGTATTGTGCAAACTCTTCAAAGGAAACAGGTGGAAGTAAAACGATTTCAGGTGAAAATTTACCTGCACACAGTCACTACATAGATTTAAGTACATCTCAAGCAGGTTGGCATAAGCATAGATATTGGGATTGGTCAGGAATGACAAAAGGTAAAGGATATGATGTTAAAGACGACGTTAAGTTTGCTATAAATTGTTACTGGAGTAACACTCAGGGAGAAGGAAACCATACACATTTCGTTTCAGGATATACGCAAACAACGGGACAAAGTAAAGAATACATGCCACCTTACATGACAGTTTACGCATGGTATAGAATTGCTTAGTCGTCATTTTCAACTTCTTTAGCATATTCGTCAGGAGTTGTCTTATATTTGTTAGGAACTGTCTTTGAAAGTATACCACCTTGAACTTTGACAAGTTTGAAACGAGGTCTGGCAATAGTAGTTTTATCTTCTGCTTGCAGTGTGTACATTTTGCCATGTTTGCCTAAAACTTCATAATATTCTCTTGTATACTTTCTTTTATTTTTACGAACACGAATGTGAGTACCTGTCGGGTTCCCATTGTTGTCATAGTCAATAGTATTTTCATATGGGTCACGTTTAGGTATTTCTATTTTTACTTTGTCACCTTTCTGAAGTTTGAAGCCCGGCATTCTTTCTTGTTTGTCTCTTTTGACTAAATTATTAAATATATAGTCTTTCTCTAAGTCAGGGTTGTTTTTCATTTCTTCGGGGGAGTGGTTTCCCAAACCTTTTTGTTTACGGTTATTGTAAATATTTAAAACTTGTCTCATCTTTGCCATGGAGAAGTGTCTATATTTGTCGTCATATGACATTTCATTTGCTTCACCACCTTGTGGTTGGTTTAAGTCTCTTAACATTTTTATACAACCGTCAATGACACCAAGAGCAGAATGGTTTTGGTCGACAATGAAATATTGGTTTACATTTTTTGAACGCAGATAGTTTTTTACATCATCTGATTTGAAAGAACTTTCACAGTCAGATGTCAGTTTTGTTGGATGGTATTTGTCAACGAATATTGTCAAAGCAGTTTTCACATCTAAAATATTTTTGGACCATAATGGTATGGCTTCACAGTATCTTGTGTTTTGACCAACAAATATTAACCAGTATGGAGGTCCATCTGTTCTAACTCTCGGAATGTTTTCCAAGATATCCATAAACCAAGCATTTGGTGTTGAACTAAAGATTTTTATCATGAGTGCTTTCTTTGTCGCTTTAGAAACATAGGGGTCCTTGTTTGGATTCGTCATTTTTTACCCTATAAGAAATGGGTTTATTTGGCGCATTAGCAGGAGTTGCATCTAGATTTTTACCCGCAGTGGGAACAATAGCCAGAGGTGCATTTGGAGTTGGAAGGAAGATTTTGAGTACATTAGGTATACTGAAAGACAAAGCTCAGCCTATTATACAAACTGTACAGAAAGGTTGGGATGTAGCACGAGATGCAACAAATCTTATTCCAAATCCTGAAACAAGAGGAAAAGTTCAAGGATGGATGGACAATGTAGGAAGACAAGCAGGAAACTATTATAACAAAGCAAATGACTACTATAACCAAGCAGGACACTATATGGACCAAGGTGAAAGATTCTTTAACAGAGGATATAACCATGCACAACAGTGGGTAAACAATAACCAACCGCAACCACCTCAAACTTGGGGAATGTAAAATTTTTTACTGAGATGAAATGAACAATGCAGCTTTAAACAGAATAAGTCATGGAAGACCACCTTTTACACCACGTGTTTGTAAAGTTCTTCCTATACCTCAGGAAGTTTTAGACCGACTTAAAAAACCTAAACAACCAGTTGAAAACAAACCAAACTAAAATTTTTTACTGAGATGAAATGACCGAAGAAGTTGAACCGGTAGATTTGACACCACAAACAAAAAGTTCAGAACCATTGTCAAAACCTGTCAAAGAACTTACAGATGAAGAGAAAAATTCAATAATAGAAAGTGCCAGGTCTGGAAATACAAACCCTAACTATAAAGTCACTTTTCATAGAAATGGAACGGCTAGTATCTCAAAAAAGAAACAGACTCTCACAAATAAAATATTGAAGTCTGAAGGAACTTTCGAGACAACAGATGGAAAAGTTTACTTCACTGACCAACAGTTCATTATAGAACATCTCATTGACTTAGAGTCGAAATATTCTAAACTTTACAACAAACACAAAAAGTTGAAAGGAAAACAAAAACAAATGGCATATGATATTTTGAAAGATGTTGACGACACAACTGTTCCTGCAAGTGAAGTAAAGTCAGAGGAACCGAAAAAGTGACGAAAAACCGATAGAAGAAGAGAAACCAAAAACTGAAGATAAACCAAAACCAAAGTTTAGTTTCCAAACTAAACCAAGTCAACCTTCATTAGCTGGTATGGGTTGGCGTCAAAGACTTATGGCAGCAGGCGGTTATGTAAAGTAAAGAAAAAAAATATTTTTTTATTTTTATAAAAATGCCCCCATATAGAATGGACAGAAAGTCTGCTAGAATAAAAGCAGAGTTACAAAGATATGGTTGGAGAGTTTCGAAGAATTTTAAATATAGGAAGGGAAGACCCATAAAAGTCTATGACAAATTGTCTGGTCTTCGCTACGAAATGGATTTGGAAACAGCACGTGCCAATTATCCAAACAGACTAGAGAGGTTAGAAGAAGAACGTCTTATGGACATGCCTTTCGATGTTAGTGAACCTCAAGTTGAAGGACACGACGGCTTTGCCAGATTCTACTGGAAACATGACGAACAATTGCATCCTTTGAGAAGGAAAAAAGGAAAAGGTGAAGACGCACATGCTCCCATGGAAAGAACAAGATATGCATATGAAAAGTATCGTGAAGTTAGAAGTCAAATTACATCTGGTCGAACCTTTACAGTAAACTTTGAACGAAGGAAAAGAA